AAAAATTAAAATTTTCTCAAAATGTCTTAAATTTTACATCATTTTCATCTCACGGACGCGATGAATGCATCGAACTCCTTGAAAAACATGCTAGAAGTTTCAGATCCGAAATAATCGACATTTTAGGCACATTTTAAGCGTTTTTGACCGCTCACGATCTTTAGCCGACGATTTCTTCCTTATTATTGACCCAAACACTTTATAAATGTATATTTCTGACCTTCTTACGTCGACACGAATCGATTGAACTGAAGAAACACGCATGTGAAATTTTGATTTTTGATCGAAACTTTTCCAAGGGTGGGGGTCGATTTTTTGAAAAAATAACAATTTTCTCAAAACGTCTTAAATTTTACATCATTTTCAGCTCACGGACGCGAGGAATGCATCGAACTCGTTGAAAAACATGATAAAAGTTTCAGATCGAAATAATAGACATTTTCAGCACATTTTAAGCGTTTTTTGAGAGTTCACGATCTTTAGCCGACGATTTCTTCCTTATTATTGACCCAAACACTTTACAAATGCAAATTTGTGACCTTCTTACGTCGAAAGGAATCGATTGAGCTCAAAAAACACGCATGTGAAATTTTGATTTTTGATCGAAATTTGTCCAAGGGTGGAGGTCGACTTTTCTGAAAAAATTAAAATTTTCTCAAAATGTCCTAAATTTTACATAATTTTCATCTCACGGACGCGAGGAATGCATCAAACTCCTTGAAAAACATGGTAGAAGTTCAGATCCAAAATAATCGATATTTTAGGCACATTTTAAGCATTTTTTGAGCGTTCATAATCTTTAGCCGACGGTTCACGATTTTCCAAGAAGGTCATTTTTTTTTACGCTTGCTTCTTTGGTGGGTATGCGGTATGAATCACCCTGTATGCCATTTGTACCAAAACCAATAATATGTGGTTTGAAAGCTTCACAAAACTGTTTTGTTTATAATGAGTTTTTGAGCATCTCGCAGAACATGCCTTGGGTATTTGAGCCAACCATCCTTGAAACGATTCGTGAACGTTAAACCGCAAAAATTTACAAAAATTAACCTTGAAATCCTCCGGAGGTAACAAAATTCAATAAAGGCAGGTTGCTGGTAGTGGTGTTTGAACATTTCGAACAAGGTTGATGATGAATGTGAATGAACTGGGCCGACTAGTAAAGGAAATGGGTGGAAAATTCAGAAAACCAGAAACAGTTATCTGAAAAGTGCAAGGTCATCTAGCAGCTAGTTCTTTGTTTGTTAATAGGAGGCGGATTATTATATCGTATGATTTTCTTAGCAAGTTTAGGCAGGGGAACTAGTAGGTATTTGGGAACACAGCTGCTTACTTGGAGAGCCATCAATTGATGCCGATGACGGGATAATTAGCATTTGTGTATTCAAATGATGAAAAAAAGCGAAACTATTAGTCGGCTGATTGCTGTCGTCATTAGATTAGAACAAGTTTGAGTTAAAGGAACGCAAAGTTATACTATGAAGTGGCCGGTATTAAGCTAATTGCGCAAACCCGTTTCTCTACTGTATCATCCGCTTAATCTCCTGAAGTTGTATATGATTTTTTGCTTTATAATCCTCCGGCACGATTGACCAGTTTGTGCGCCTCGAACTCGCCCAAATTCAACGAAAATCTGTCCATCCAAAGATCCTGCACACTTAAGACTTACCATGATCCGCTTTATGAGCCTGGCAAATCCCAACAAGCACTAAAACACAAACGCACAAACAAAAAGAACCGCACAGCGAGTACCCAACTCTCGCCATGTTCACGAGCACGACTGACAAGACAGCCGTCTTGAATCTAGAGAATGTTGAAGAACTGAAGAAACCAATAACCCACTAGACTATTCTGAACGAAAGCCTTGACGTCATTTCAGCACTTCCAAGCGACCAGAGGAAACAGCAAAGCGGAGCTTTTTTGGCAAAATGGTACTTGCTTTGGGCACTTGCCTGCGCTTGATTACTTGGGTACTATTTAAATAAATCCAGCAGACGAAACGGGAAATTCAACCCACAGCCGAGTAGAAACGAGCGTTAAAACGTGGTTGCTTGAACGCGACTTTAGTATATAGTTTTTCGTATTTTTGTGCTACCTATTGGCTCTTGCGGGTCGTACTGGGTCATACTGGGTCATAGACATAGAACAAGCCGAAAGGACGCATACTCTCTGACATAAATACAGACGGGCAGAGATAAAAGAACATACAAAAT